ATATCCATCTCTGAGGTAAGAGAGACTGAGGTCTGGACTTGGTACAAAGGGTTAGTCTCTGACATTAGTCCTGATTGAGCTATACACATTCCCAAAAAGTAGAAATGGCTCCTTCTCCTCTTCCACCCCTCCCCCATTCATTTTCGTGGGGAGGGGAAGGCATTTTCTCGGAGAGAGTAGCAGTGCCCGCGGAAGCACTGACATCAGAGCTCGGGAACATTGACTTCAGTGCTTCAAAAAACTGACATCTGAGCCCTGGAACGCTGACTTCAGTGCTTCAGAACACTGACAGTGTTCAAGTCTGTTCCAAATGCAAGCGCTTCTGATCTGAGCACTTGCCATTTTTACCAGGATTACGTAAAAATTTATAAAAAAAATTGACTCAAACTGAATATTAGATGCTTTAAAATTTCGAAAATTTTCTGGGAGAAGAGTTTCGGACGTCCCTCCACCTCTCCCCCCATTCGAGGTATCTAGATCCACCGAAGTCAAAATCTTCCGTCACCTCTACCGTTAGCTGCTGTTCAGCTACATGAATGACATTTGTTGCCATCCAGGGCGACAGGTAGGCAAAATTTTTAGTACGGCAAATTTCGTCCAATTCGGTCGATAAATCAGATGTTAAGATTTTTAATGGAACGTATTCGAATTTGGAATGTCATAATGAATCAGTTGCAAGTAAAGTAAGTCGCTCTGTGCCCGAAACATGGTGGAATAGAATTTTGGATGGATTTTTCTATGAACAAAAGTTTTTGAACCACGATCTTCAACCGCCATATCACTCCTTTTCGGTCCATATCCTGAGCATTTTTGCCGTTCAAAGTCTTTAGAACAGTTAGCTGCGTACCTACTGTCACAATAAAGCCACTTTACTTTGCAATGGATTAGTTCCCCTTTGTCTCGTGGACGGGCACGCACATTAAGTGCGTAATATTTAATTAACTCATAGTGAATTTTGCACTGTAGGTAATAGAGCGCATCAGATGGCAATGCCGTCTGACGTGTTTACACCTCATTCTAGTGAAACAGATTGTGACGATGAATTATTTATAACTCTCTTAAATGGATTCTGATTTATCCGTCCCGGATTGCAAACTAATAAGTAGCATTTTTCAACGGAAAAATCGCGATTTGTTTTGATTTTGTCGGCGATAAAATCGCTAAGATCATCAACATCTGGGCGGTTATCCTAAGTCCATCGCGATATTATGATCGCAACGAAAATCGCCATATATGGCGATTTAATCTCGATTTTATCGACGAAAATTGATCGTGATTTTATTGAACAAAAATTGCGATGCATAGCGATTTAATCGCCATAATTCGCAATTTTTTATTTGATAATATTGCGATAAATTGCCAGCGATATAATCGCTATTTATCGCGATCACTGCTAGTTGGGTTGGGTGATGGGTAATAAAAAAGTAATCGAATAATGAGTGAATAATGGTCAATAATCGTCAATAGACAATTTTACAGAATCTTGACATCAGTGCGCAATGCGGTTCTAAATAAATAAAAAATAAATAACAGCAATAATAGGTACCTAAAATTCTTTCAGCAGAAGAAATTTTATTCCATAACAGATAACAATCAGGATAATCAGAATATCGACGAGGTATTTCACGTAGACCAAAAAAGTGCTGTGGAAAAAATGTTAAATTTACTTCCATAAATATAATATAAAATTATCCTTATTTTTGAACTCGGTACATGTATTATAAATTTCCATCATCCTCCCTCACTTCATTTGTCAATAGATCAACCAACAGACATAAAAGGAAACAATGATTGTAAAAAACCGCGAAAAATGCCAATTTCTGCTCTATTTCCGAAGTTTGGCATGCGGCAGTGGGTTTAATTTTGCCTTCAGCAAAAAAATGTATAGAAACAATTTTATAGGTAGAGAACTAGCACGAACACAAAAAACGCATCAATCATAACAAACAAAAAAACACATAAAAACACAATACACAAAAAAAAAAAAACCACATCAAACACAACAAACAGACCAAAAACATAAATAAAGCATTTTGATATCTACGTATCGATATATAGATCGACTGTCGCATGTATGGCGATATACATCGCACAGAAAGGTACCTAGCAACGCATGCCTAGCAAGCAACCGTGGGCTCGTACCTCCCCCCAAATTTCCCATTTTTTGACGATAATATTCCTAAATCTTGAAAGGGAGAAAATTGAAACAGCCAGTGTCACTTACCGAACTGGAAAGGATCAGTATACAAATTTTAGGGAAGATCAGACAAACGGTATGACTCCACCTTCGTGAGTGCGTTCAAAGCTGACCTTTACTTTACACAGGGTGCGGCAAAAGTCCCGGGACGGCTGTTTATTTTTTAAACGGCTACACGTAGAAAAACGAATTTTGGGGGATGTTCTTGGGTCAAAACAAAGCTACTTTTTGGCACTCCCCAAAATTTGTTTGGGGCCCCCCTAGGGGAGGGCGGGGGGCAACTTTTTTTTTTCAAATGGCAACCCCCCCCCCTTTGTGATACCTCATTCAAAACATAATAAAAAAATAAAATTTTTGGCGCAAACCGCTGGTCAAAATGTTCATTTTTGACAAAATGGCGGCCGGTCAAAGTTCAAAATGGCGGAAATTTGGCATCTCCGTTGTTTATTGACGGATTGGTGTGAAACTTGGAATCCAAGGGTTTTTCGAGATGAGAAAAACGATTCTGGCATTGGTTTTCCAGAAAAGTCAGTCCTTTTCAAAATGGCGGCTTCGAGCGGGAAGTGGATATTTAGGTTGCATATCGTTGGATTTGCATGAAACTCGGTACCTGAGGGTATTTCGGCACGAAAAGAACGAATCTTTCATTGGATATCTGAAATTTTGACAAATTTCTGAATGGCGGCGGAAAAATGGCGGGAAATCAGTTTTACGGCTCTTTACCGATGGATTAGCATGAAATTCGATATCCTGGCGGTTTTTGGCTCGTTAAAGAGGTATCTTTCAATAGATTCTTGAAATATCAAATAATTTCATGCTAATCCATCGGTAAAGAGCCGTAATACTGATTTCCCGCCATTTTTCCGCCGCTATTCAGAAATTTGTCAAAATTTCAGATATCCAATGAAAGATTCGTTCTTCTCGTGCCAAAATACCCCCAGATACCAAGTTTCATGCAAATCCAACGATAAGCAACCTAAATATCCACTTCCCGCTCGAGGCCGCCATTTTGACCGCCGCCATTTTGAAAAGGACTGACTTTTCTGGAAAACCAATGCCAGAATCGTTTTTCTCATCTCGGAAAACCCTAGAATTCCGAGGTTTCACACCAATCCGTCAATAAACAACGGAGATGCCAAATTTCCGCCATTTTGAACTTTGACCGGCCGCCATTTTGTCAAAAATGAACATTTTGACCTGCGGTTTGCGTCAAAAATTTTCTTTTTTTATTATCTTTTGAATGAGGTATCACAAAGGGGGGGGTTGCCATTTGAAAAAAAAAGTTGCCCCCCGCCCTCCCCTAGGGGGGCCCCAAACAAATTTTGGGGAGTGCCAACAAGTAGCTTACTTTGACCCAAGAACATCCCCCAAAATTCGTTTTTCTACGTGTAGCCGTTTAAAAAATAAACAGCCGCCCCGGACTTTTGTCGCACCCTGTATATAAGATAATGCAAAATATGCCTTGAGACTTTGAGATTATGTTCTTAGGAATGTTATTGACCATCCCAAACTGAGGAAATTATTCAATATGTCGAAATGCGATGTGTAAAAGCTTGTTGCTCATATCATCAGGATTTTTAACCAGTTGGATGCATCAGTTCAAAAACTTGCTCAGTTTTCTCAAAACGAGTCAACTGTCAGTTTTTGGGGACAGCCTAGTGTGGCATCATAAACTTTAAACAGACATATTTCACCCTAAATCGATCTGTTTACCATATATATATTCCCAGTAGCACAGATTGCAATAAATTGCGATTACACGGAAGAATTATCGCTACTGCAGCATCTGCTGCTGCTGAGGTGTTGTTTATGTTGCCTATCTACTGATTGAAGGCACCTGGCTTATTGAAATTTGTGGGAACAAAAATGAAAAAAGTTGCAATTTTCATTGCACTCTACACATTACCCATCATTTTGCCACCTCGAACTCTCTTTCCTGATTATTTTTAAAATGGGTACATATTCATTGACCAAATAATGTAAAAATAATGCAATATCATAGTGAAGAAATTTCAAATTTAATGCAATACATCGTAACTTTATTTCAATATTTTCATTGTACCGTGCTACTTAAGATAGTGGAACCTCATCGGTTATTCGGATAGGTATCTGTTGCGGATATTCACGCCTAATAGTTACTGAAAACCCCGGATAATTGAAATATCCACGGAATACGTCAGATATAATGAGAAAACTGTAGAAGTTGACCTCGTAGGTACATAGTGTTGAACATTTATCTTTAAAAACGCTCGAAGGATGTCCGTCGGATACCTACCTAACTGAAGCGTCGAATAACCAGACGACGGATAACCTGCCTACGTTCGACACTGAATTGTGTTCGTTATTTAATCGGAAGTGTCTAAATTATTAAATTATTAATGGAAAATATTCATAACTTTCCTGAAAAATAGGTTTTTTCATAAAGTAAATTAGAGGAAATTCGAAACATTTTTGTACGGTGTTCCTCCCTGGGCGGCAGTATGATTATGAAAACAATCGTTAGTTCTGCAACATTCACAACTGAGTACGGAGAGTCTAACTCAGAAGAATCGAGTTTTGTATGGGGAGCAAACAAACTCTTAAACTCTTCACAGATGCCTAACAAAATGGCCACAAACATTACTGTCAAGCTCCTACCCTAACATCCTAAACTCAAGCAGAGGATACTTTATTATTACACACGGATTACAGTAGTGCGCGTGGAGGGTTGGTCAAGTCCAACCCCCAGCTCACAAAGCCCGAGCCCCATTCCATTCAAAAGATCCTCTTGAGCCTTTTTCCCTCTTCAACCCCAGCGCTCAGCGCGACCCTCTCCGCGTTAGACTATTGGAAGATCATTCTATGTCACACCTTCACAGGTGTCTTTTCGCCTGCTCCGCCGATATATTAAGGGTTTTTTTCGGTACCGGTCGAGTGCGATTTTTCGGTTCCAAATGTTAAGTGTTTGAATCTGTGATAGTTAACTTACGTCGTATTCCTCGTTATTTGTTCCTACCGCGACTTTCTCAAATATTCATTGAAGTGACGCTTAAAATTTTCGATTTTTTACTTAATTCTTTAATTTATATCGGAAAAAAAATTAACGGAATTTGTGTTCATAAATCTGTGCTGGTTGGAAAAAGTAGAACTGTGCGCATTCTTTCAATGTAATTTTCGAGATTCACGCGTCACCTTTCACATCTCAGTTCATGGAAAGTTGTCACATTTTGCACGAAAAAGACGACGGAGAAATTTTTTACCACTCATTGCTCTTATGTGTTGTTTAATGGCATCCGAAATTAAATTGTTCAGGCCATGGACCGCCTACTCTTACGATTTACTGCAGCCACCCAAATGTCAAAAGTCGAACAACTTTCAAACCGATCTTTTGATCGAGTCTCCTCAAATGACCAGCGGTAACATTACGACGACGGATACCAAAGAAAGGCAGATGTTCGACTCGAAACCATCGGTAGCCTCACCGTCTAGCGTCTTCGATGAAAAACGTCAGACGTGGTGCAGTCTAAAACGCGAGTTTCTCGAGAGGAGATGTTCAGTGCCGAACATATCGAAAAACTTAGATCATGAAGCTGATGAGTTGAATCATAAGGTGACGCTGGCCGGTCAAGTGTCGAACGAGATGAATGCAATGAGCACTGATAGCCGAACTTGTGATAATCGTTTTAATGTTAGCCTGGATTTCTTTCACGTGGAACCGCAAAGTCTAGATCCGTTACGCACAAAGAGTCTGCCGAGTTTCAGTTCGAATTATTTCAACTACCCAAACTGCTATGACCCGAGTTTAATTGCTTACGGACTTAGTCCGGAGGATGTATTTGGCGTCCAAAACGAACTCTTGCATTCTCACTCGACGGATGCCTGGAGTAATCTGGCCGAACTCTACAGTCAGGCTAATCAAAAAAAAGTCAAACAGCGCCCAAAGAAATTTCAGTGTCCTCAATGCAATGTTGCATTCAGCAATAATGGTCAACTCAAGGGGCATGTCCGAATTCATACAGGTAAATTTATTCATCAGTCTATCTCTGATTTTAGCCCGCAGGTACATTATATTTGTTGATTTACGTGAATTTAATTGTCTGGTATAAACTGAATTTATTTATTACTAATTTACTTAATACGTAAAATGCGACAGCAAATTTTTGCAGTAGCGTGACTGTAATAGGTAGGCGTTTGTTATCATGGGAGTTTACAAGCGATTCGTATATGTATACAGAGCTGGATTATTAGGTTTTTGACGACCGGTGCCAAAAAAATTTTTCCGCCTCCTCCCTCCTGGGTAGGTGGGTGAATTCAAATAAGGGTCAAATTCCAGGTTCTATTTCCTCTCAAAATTTTTTTGTGAATTTTTGGGCAAACCAAACTTTATTTTGACTATCATTAGGTATGGACTTAGGAAATATAGCCCGTCGAGCTTAATAGTTGGGCTTAAACCCGAATTTCCACCGTCAAGTGTATCTTTTCCCAAAATTTGCTCTAATTTTGCCTGATTTCCCAAATTTTCATCTCAGAGGTGACATATAATACTTTTAATTGAAAATTGAACACAATTGTCATAATAGCATCGTCGAGCACTAAATTAAAGCATAATTGAAAACATGTAACCCTTTCATATCTTGCAGAACCAAAAGATTGAGAAAAAATTCATCCGTCATAAAAGATATCTGGAGCTTATTCTGCTTGTTTTTTAGACAGTTCCGTCTGTTTACCAAAATGCTCACTGTCTTCCTTTAACACGAGAAGAAGCTTTTATTTCTTGGAAAATTGCAATACGAAATGAATAAATAACACCGAATTTTAAAATTTCGAGTGCGCGTGTACCCGCTTAAGTGGCGATAAAGCCAGGAAAAGTTTGAGGACTTCCATTAACATAACAATTACGCCGATCAACTTTTTTTTTTTTTTTTTGATTTTCCGAAGATTTGCCAATGGTTTCGAAGTAGATTTTTGGCACTGATTCTGAAGAACACCTCCATTTACCTGCATCAGTGCGATTTATCCTGGGAAAGTTCGGGATTTTTCCGGAGAAATCGGAATTTTCCTTAAAAATCTAGCTTTTCCAGGAGAAATCGGAATTTTCCTTAAAAATCTAGCTTATCCAGAAGAGTCAATTTTCCGGGAGAATCTGTGCTCGGTGGAAAAAACCCAGGAATTTTTCGATTTCGTAGCCTAAGATACATTAGGAACCCTATTGCACCCCTCTTAAAATTCCCTTTCTTTTCCTAATACCAAGGTTTTCCGGTCCAGTTTCATTAAAATCAATTAATTAGTCACCGAGATAGTGTTTTAAGCCACTGCCACCATCTTAGATTTTCGAATCTTGGAAATTTCACTAAAATTCGAGTTCCCCATTCGAAAATACCCGCGGGTACCAAGTTTCGCGAAAATCGATTGATAAGGCGCTGAGATAACATTTTAGGTCATGTCCGCCATCTTGGATTTTCGAATTTTGAAACTACGACTAAAAATTCAAGTTTCCCATTGAAAAATACCTCCAGGTACCAAGTTTCACTTTAATCGACTGATTAGGTGCTGTGATAGCATTTTAGGCCACGTCCGCCGTATTGGATTTTCGAATTTTGAAAATACGACTAAAAATTCAAGTTTCCCATTGAAAAATACCTCCAGGTACCAAGTTTCACTTTAATCGACTGATTAGGTGCTGTGATAGCATTTTAGGCCACATCCGCCGTATTGGATTTTCGAATTTTGAAAATTCGACTAAAAATTCGAGTTCCCCATTGAAAAATACCCCCGGATATCAAGTTTCACTTAAATCGGTCAAAAAGAGCGCCTACAGGGCTTAAACAAGCAAGTCTCAGTTGTTTAGGCGCTGCGATAGTATTTTAGGTCATGTCCGCCATCTTGGATTTTCGAATTTTCAATATTCGACTTAAAATTCGAGTTCTCCATTGGAAAATACCTCTGGGTACCAAGTTTCACTCAAATCGGTAGAAAAGAGCGCCTACAAGGCTTAAACAAGCAAGTCTCAGTTGTAACAGTTTTCCACTCTGTCCCCAAACTGGGACACTGGGACAGGATGGAAATGGGACATGATGGAACGGGACATGATGGAACGGGACATGATGGAACGGGACAGGATAGAACGGGACAGGATGAAATAAGCTGTTTTTTAAGCTTATCTCCAACAGTAAAGACAATTTTGGTGTTTTTTTCACAGAATATTTAGTAGTACCTACATCTTAGAGTATCGGAATAAGAAAAAATTTTCCCTAACGCACACTTCGAAGGTATTTTACGAGCTGATATTAGTGTGTGTGTGTGTGTGTGTACGCTTGACGCCCTGTTAGTTATCGCGTGTAGCATTTTGTTTGGCATCGTTAATGCCGTTAATCTTGCACAAACATTTGCGAATTTCAGAATTTTTGCCATCTGCGACGTGTGAACTATTCAATCGAAACAAAAAAAAATCGTTTTTGGAAAAACCTCAACGTTACGGCAATCATTTAGAGCATATTACATCGTTGCCATGTCTCTCCTGACTGTTGCTCGGGACAATGATTCTAGCGCGTGAAAAAGTTATTGATGGAGCAATAAAGAAATTGACATATTTTTTTTCTCAAATTCCAAAGCATTACCTATCATCTCCGATAAATTTTTCATAAAAAATCACTCTAGTTATGCTGCAACATCGATTTAAAGTCAAGAACCAAGCACGGGGGACACGCAAATTTGGGACAAATGCAGGCAATTTGCACATTCAAAGTTCTCCTAAATTTTTATTTCAGTCCAAATAAAGTGGAAAATAGCATGTAGGTAATAGTCAACAATAGTGTGGAAAATGAGAAGAAAATTTAATCTGCCCATGTTTCTCAGATTATTACGATTAAAACAGCATGGAACACCAGATTAGACGCTTAGTAATTGAACTCACCCAGGTATGTACGGTGCAGTATCTTATAGAAACATAGGTATGGCACGTATGCATGACATTTCAGTTTCGGAAACACGGCAAAAGCGTAACCGATTCTGCGATAGTTACGAGGATGTGCATTTGTGCAAAAAAGTGTTGTAAACAAAAATATTGTAGGAGGGGGGATGATTTTTCAAGGAATTAGGATTCGTGACACGAAAAAGGGGAAAATGAGACAGAAAATGAGAAACGCTAATTGAAACATGGTAAAAAATTAAATGATACTAAAGTAAGAAACAACGTATCTGCGTTGCCACGTATCAGAATTACGGCATCAATTGTATTTTCTCAAAGAAAAACAAGCCAACTTTAGCTTGATGTTAGCTGGGATTCACCAGTCTTCTTAACAACCACTGACACTGTCTGGCGCCCCTGGCGGCGATCGCGATTTCCGAAAAGTCATCTCCAGGATCTACTGCGCGATCGTTGCAATATAGAGTCACACGTCCGCTTTTCGTGAAAGAAAGTTACCGCGGCGGCAGTTTCGTCCCACGACGAAATTAAATGTTATTCATCGGTGACATCGTTCTTACGAGGCTGAAGTCGCCAGACGGGACGGCCCTCATGGAGTACGAGCAAATGCTATATAATTTCGCGTAGGTATAGAGAGTCAAAAAATAATTTCTGTCGTAGAGGGCTGATTTGCCGCCTTGAGGTTGCCCATGATTTTCAAAGAGAAATACGATGACTTACCCGAAGATAGAATGAATTACAAGTGGAAGCCAGTGCCACGCCGCTACATGCCGCGCAGGTTTACCCAACATTGATCTTCTTCAAATCCTTCCATTGGTATTTCCCTCATTTTTTTTTTTTTTTTTCACACAATTAATTGGGGTACTACCGTAATAATCTAAAATGCCCATAATACCCGACAGTTCCTACCTCTTTTTTTCCGTGTCTCTCCTCTCTTTTTCTTAAGAAAAAAAGAAGAGAAAAATCCGAGATTTGCCGCCGGGTGTGCTATGGCATCCTTCGCACTCCCCTAAATACGGCTCTGTATGTAAATAAAGGAAGGTAAAAATTGATAAGTATCTACGTCATATAGTTTGCGGAATGCTTATTGATGAAGGTACAGTTGGAGCAGTCCGGTCATCACCTTTCCTCTCAACTTTTTTTGGCTACTTTAGGTACTTAGTGCCGACGGTTGGAATATCATGTTGAGACTAAGAACATGAATAGTATTTTGATTGTAAATCCATTTTTGACCTCAGTTTGATAAATTTCTTGCCTTACAAATAAGTTGTTCTAAAAGTACCGCATGTTTTTTCTTTTTTCGGACGAGCGGTCCGGGTGCCTACACTACCAAAACTGTTAGGGTTGGCCGCTCCTTTGAAGTAGCGTCATTCGCAAACAAAAATATACGAATCATACAATCATGGAGAGAGAGAGAGAGATGGGGGGGGNGGGGGGGGGGGGGGGGGGTGGCTAAACAGCCGACAAAGCTTCCTTTTCCTTCCAATGAAGAATTTGGACTTTCGAAACGCGAGGTAGGCAACTGCTTTGTCAGCTCGTTTCAGAAGAATGATATCTGTAAAAAAATAAATTCATTTGTTCAAAAATAATCATTAGAATTCACCGCGTAAAGGCGGCTGTGCAATGCATCGAGCCCCCTTCCCCTTGTCTCCCACCTTTGTGCTTCTTTTTTCAGTACCTATTGCATCATTAGCATTTTTTTAGGAGCGAAAGGTTGAAATATGATCATGGAAAATTGATGGACTCATGATGAATATATTGACAAATCACGACTTAAATCGAAAATTTCAATATAAGTAAAGCTTTCTGTTTATATATTAAGAATACATTTTAAAAATACTGAACTTAATTAATTAAATGGGAAAAAAACAGAACGATATATTACAAAAAGAGTACGTATAAGGTTAGGCACCTAATTTCTTTTTTAAAAATTAAATGCTGTTGCAAAGTAAGCAATTGTTGAACCTGTTTAAATTTTCTGGCTATCTTGCAAAAATTCCTTTCGTTTAAAGAGTATTCGGATGAAATCTTAGACCTTAAGAAAACCAAAATTACCTACGGAGTGTAACCTCTTTGAAGGCTATTTCAGTAAAA